CTCGGCCCGGCCACGCCCCCTCGGCCGTATTTATCCGGTTACGCCCGCAGCGCCTCGCGCGCACCCCGCGCGGCCACCTGCGCGCGCACATCTGTCCCGGGCAGATGTGCAGAGGCAGAGACACGCTCTGGGGTCGGCCCCTCCGCCGAGGTTAGGTCGGTGTGGGGAGACGGACGGAGAGACGAAGAAAGAAATGACAAAGCGAACAGGGCGGACGGACAGAAGTAACGTGACAGACGGGCGCCCCGTGGCCTTCTAGACACACACACACACACACACACAACTGCGTGTGCTGCACTAGACTCACGTCTGCAAATACTACTGTTAACTAAAAACCCCCAAAGCCCAACACAGCATCCACACTTGCTCCTTTTTCCCCGGGGGTGTCAGCTTTACCTAACCTGCCTGAAGCCAACTTCTAGAAAAAACACGTTTCCGTGGGTCTATTTGCAGATGCTGTTTTGCGGGTTTGGGCGTGCTTTTTTTAGTTAAAAGTCGTGTTTCTAGAGAGGATTTCTTTTTTTTAAATCAGTAATGGCATGTGAAGCCTTTGGGGAGGGGAGTGAAAGCAGCAGTGCCCATTGGGAGGGGCCACAGGCGCGACGCGGCAGGCACGGCACACCGGGGTCTCATGCAGCAGGTGTAGATGAGCTGCAGGCAAGGGGGTATCCCCAGGTCAGCCCCGCAGAGATGGGGCAGTCACCGCCTGTCTCCCTGGCAGGGGGCACAGCCTCTGCTTGGGACCTCTAGGGCATTTATTGAGGTGGCAGCTGTGGGTCCCCCGCAGCAGGTCCAGGCGCGATGGCCCGTGCCATCTCTTACCTAGAGTTCAGGTGGTGGATTTGTACAGGATGGTTTGGATGGGGCTGATCCTGACTCAGGCAGAGGGTTGGACTGGATGCAACCTCTGGAGCTCCCTGCCAGCCACACAGCTCCCAGATTTGGACTCTGATTAGCCCAGGATAAAAAGGACCATGCAGCTGTAAGAAGAGCCAACAGCTATAACGGTGGCACTTGGAAATGTGCAACAGCCCTAGGGCTGGTTTCTATCCAGTTTTAATCCGAACATGTAGCAGTTGCGGTGCGATTACCGGTGTGGACAGAGCTACACTGCTAGCCAAGTCTATGGTACTGGGCTGGCTAGTCCTAAGCAAGAACACATGGGGGGTGGGGGCAGGACTCCATCCCCTGCAGCAAAATAGCCCCTGCTCCACCCAGCATAGGCCAGTTCTTGCACGCAGGCTTGTTAAATGCCTCTGGTCACTCATGGAGCAGTGGTACTGAAGTCTGCAGCCCAAAGTGGAGATGGTTTCCCACCCTCACTAGATCTCAAACTTTTTGGACTCGAAGCACCCCTGGGAAGATGCCAGCTCTTCCTTTTCACTTTTTTGCCTGCAAAAAATAAGAGAGCTGGTTTTTTTCTGGTGCAAAGACGTCAGAAAGCACAACTGTGGATTTGTTTGAAATCTCTGGGTTGTGTGGCCCCCCTGGACGGATCTCAAGGTACCCCAAGCTACTTCTGCACTCACTAAGCATCACCACTCCAGCTGATCACATCACCTTGCCTGCAACAAGGTTTTTCAGCTGTACTATCTCTAGCCTGCTCCTGCCTTGCTGTTCCCATTTGATCCCAACCTCAAGTCCCACCTCTCTCAACTCAGATGCCATCCACCACCGTAGGTGGAGGGTGTGGAAAGATTTCACCTATTAAAACATATGTTCAGTGGAGCTTGTTTGTTCAATACCTAGCACAGTAGAGCACTAATCCAGACTGGGGTCTCTGCACTAGTGCTGCGTGAATAATAACACCCTTGTATTTGCCTTTTTGTTGATACCATTCAATCATAACCATTTAAAACTAAATTATAGAATTTTAATTTAAAATTAGTTCTATACATGTCACTTGATACAAACAACATACATTGGGAGCATACTGTATGCCGGATAACGTGCCATTCATAGCGAGATGTACACACAACCAATCAAGGAGGATACAACTGGTGCACGTTTCCGCATACTGTAGCGAAACAAAAGCTTTTCTGTGAGCAAAATTTGATTTCAAATGGAAAAAACATTACAAAATATACATGCCTGTGCTGCTTAGGGTTAAGGTTGGCATCCAAATGGAACTACCCTAGAGATCATTTTAAAAAGTACGTGTTGTTAGTCCATTTGACATAACACAAAGAGATGATGTTTGAAGCAATGCTTTAAATTGCCAACTGCAAATGCTTGAAATGGAGCATCAGACTGTATTGGCAGTTACCGAGTTGGCATGTGCCCTGACAGAGACAAGTCTAGCTCATACAAAAACAAGAGCAGGGAAATGGAAAAAATGACCGCAGCAGGACAACGTGAAGGCCCAGTCTTGCAAACACTTAAGCACACCAGCTGCATAACACTATGCAAAGTGAGGACTGTAGGTATGTGCTTAAGTATACGTAGAATGACAGCTTAAGTATTCAGGACCTAACATCGGGAGCCCTCGAAATTTTATACTGAAAAATAAGGCAAGAAAAGCACTTGGTTCTATTTGGGATGTTGCATTACAGCTAGAAATAGGGCTTTGGTTTTTATCACCATCCTCAACATTGGTGTACTGCAGGCCTTGAATTCCACCGGAACCAGCCACTTCGATCTAATCTTAAATATCCCAGTGCAGGACAGCAATACCAGAATGGTAGTTTTGTGCTATTGTACACAGTGGTCATCAAGTCAGAAAAGGATTGTTCACAAAATAACCTGGTACATTGTCTAGTGAAATTCCTAAATCTAGTACTGTACACTTACGTTGTTTCCAGCCCCAGGACTGGACATTAATTCAGCATGAAGCCAGTCAATACCACTCCTGAACTAGGCTGACAGGGTCACAGTTGAGCAACTCATTTAGGACATGTACAACAAAAAAGGAAACAAATCAAAAGAAGTATGAAAAGTCCTTTTTGGATTAGACAGCAGTTTCCTCCCCCTTTATATCACAGCCATGAATCTGCGAGTGCTATGCCACCTTTGGGAATGAGTAATGTATTCAAACAGGTTACGTTCATTAACAAGACAGCAGTGCTGAGCTACATTAAGTTTTATGCATTCTGGTTTTTCCTAATGAGACAGAAAGCTTCAGCCAATCTTTTAAAATTTAAAATTAATTTAAACATGCTGATGATAGCTACTGGATGGGGGAAGGGGGGAGGGAAAGGTTTGGAGGAAAATAGCTCATTTTTCCCAGTGCTGTGGGTCAGCCATTTTGACCGTCCTTGGGCATGCCTATGTTCCAGAACACATCAAGCAACACAACCAGAAATCAGACGCGTGATGTGCGGTTAGCTGGGTGTAGCCACCACACTGGGGATTAAGCCACAAAAAATTATTTTGATTACCAAGTGACGCATGTTCCTGCTTAACCACACATCTCTTTCCCGCTTTTCCTTGCTAATGTAACAGTGACAGACAACGTATATGCTTTATATTAGCTTTTCCCCTCTCCATCTTTGTATTCAAAGGATTTCCTTTAAAATATATTATATTGATTTAAGGGAATATAAAGAAAAACCAGCATGGACACTAGAAAAATGTTACAGCTAAAAGCAGGTAGGGAAAAATTTACAAAAATTCTTTATTTAAAAACCCCAGAGCATATAAAGGTGATCCCACTATTCAAAACACATTCTTATACCTACCGTTCGAAAATCTGCATCACAACCCATATTTACACCATAAACCTTAGTTTTATGTGCATAATACACAACATAAGTATATACATAAACATATATATGAAGACCATATGCACCCATAGAACACAGATACAACTGAGGAAAATTAGTAACTGAAGTTATATTTCCTATATCACAAAGTAAAACTCAGGAGAGAAATGTTTGAATATAAGCAAATCTAAATGTTTCCAAAAAATGGACCTTTTTCTAACAAATTTCACAATGATAAAGTATTGACTGTTTTCTGTTTCATACAGGAGATCAAGAGTTATTTCAGACAAACGACGGTACAAAGTTTTCATAAAGAATTTTAAAAAATAGTGCAAACTATGGTTGAAACACTGTTGTCACCACCCTCAAGGAAACTATCGGTATTTAATGCAGCATCCCAGTGAAAGGACTTGTGGGGCAGTGGAGATGTCAAGACAACAATGTGATTAGTTTCAAACAAGACAGCCTCTGCCAGCCACAGTTTCAAGACACAATGGCAACATACTGTGGTAGACACCATGCCACAGTATCATAACTGAAACCCAAGGAAGCACTTCCTTGTTGTTTCAAGCTTCACTGCCTATTGCAAGTATTCTGGGGAAACGCCCATTCCTGAAGAGTCCTTTCAAAGCAAACTGCCTATTCAAATGAGAAACAGAAAACTGTGCATCATACCTGGCCTTTTAATAAACAACCCAGTCAACTCCTCTGCTAAGAGATTAGTGTAAGAGCACAATTCAACAAATCGTATCAAGTAACTGGACAGGTAACAAAGCATACCACTTTTTTCTACCCAGGATTCCAGTTAAATGGTGATTTCAAATGGGTTGTTGACAAACAAATGTGTAAGAACAGCCAAAAAAAATTGCTATTTTGTTCTATAGCTTATCATTGTAGGACCTTATTTTACAATCTGTTAAATAACTTAGGCCCCAAGGCCTTCACTTTCAGGTGCCCACCTTCTTTGTTAGAGATAATCACCTTAAAACAAAGGTGGATTTCTGGATAAGCTTAACAAGGTTCTTAATGACAGAATACAAGTCAGTCAGGAGTTCCCCAAAACAAATTAAAACAAGAACTGATGAGCAACAAAGGAAAGACTTTAAGGCAATAAGCAGCATCAGTGCCATGATGCTCCAACATTCGTTACCAGTTTCAAGTTCTACTGCAAAAAAAGACTTCTGGAATCTCTTCCAGATCCGTTAACTGTCGTCAGACTTCTCCTCTTCCTCCACCTCCTCCTCCTCCTTCGCATCTGCCTCGGATTTATCTGAAGATTCGTGGAGAAGAACGTATTCCCTGCTGCTGAACCCAAACTTCAGCACATCCTTCTCCTTCAGTTCGTAGTAACGCTGAGGTTCAATCCGTTGGTTATTTAAGAAAGTACCATTGCCGGAGTCAAGATCTATGATATAAGGCCTTACTCTGCGGCCAACTGTACCATCAGCCCGCGTATACTCCACAAGCCTGGCAAAAACAAAAGACACCTCTTTACCTACAATCATGAAATGCATCCTGCCCTCTTCATGTACTCACATTTGGCCAACTGTTGCTAAAAAGCTCCCTGACTCCAGTGCTACTCCTTGCCTGGGCAGGGGGGCTCCAGGCCAATCTTGGAAGTGCCATCTGGAAGCGTGCTTTGCCCACTTGCACCAACCCTCAAAATGCAGCATCATCACCATCTTAGAAGAGCTCTGAGTGCTAACCAATAAGCGTGCCCCAGAGCAGTACTGGGGCACAGGCTGTGGGCTCCTCTAACATGGCAACATTGGATCACTTCCAGGATATGGTTAATCCAGAGGCAGGACAAGTAGGTGAGGCATGTTTCTTGTATCACGATTCCCACAAACACAGCATGGAAGCAGTATAGACACACTCCAGCTACTGCACCAGCTCACGTGCATGCCCCATTTACAACCTGCCTTACTTAAAGGTTGCTTGTGGTTAGATGCAAGGAAAGACATGACTACTGCTTAAAATGGCATAGACTATTTGGTACTAGCATTCAGCTATTTCTGAAATAGGAGGTATCATTTACAGATTTACTTGGATGAAAACGATCTTGAACACCGACTGCTTTCACTTCTAGCCCCCAGCATAAGCCTTCCCCCTACACAGATGCAGTGAATACATACCGATACTGAAACACAGCATGCTGCTTGGAGCAAGATGGATGGTCGATGGGGATATCAGCAATTCTTCGGTGCCGGCCCAGCAGGTAAGCACTCTGCCTGTGAATGTACATGACTGGGAGCACCTCGTCATTCTTAAAGGGATAGAGACGCCATCGTTTCTTTGGAATCCGAGCTTCTGGGGGCTCACTGTATTTAATCACGACGCCGCGGAAAGTGTTTGAATCCTCTAGAAGTGCGCCAGACAGTTCAAAGCTTGGTTTCTCTTTGTTTGCTGGCTCTTTGTCTTTAGTTTTACTGTCCGATCTGCCAAGTTCAGGGTTGCTGTCCATATTGCTCACTTCGTTCTTTTGTCGATTTTCACGTCTTCTCTCATCGTAAAATTCCCTCTCTGTTTGCTGCTCACGGAGATTCTGGGAATCCCTCTCTCTCTCGTGACCTCGACCTCCAGGCCTTTCACTGGAATTTCTCCTTCTGTCTGAATGGTCTCTGTGTCTGTCTCGCTCTCGTCTGTGTTCCTGTTCAGCCTGGTCTCTGTGCTTTCGTTCATCGTGTCCTCTGCGGGAATGATCATCTCGCTCCTGGAACAAAAAGACATTAGAGTGACCTATTTAAAATTAAGGGAGAAAGAAAAGGCAAGAAATGTTGTTTAGTCTTTAGAAAAACAAATCACAATTTAATATGAGAAAACATACAGACTTAAACACAAGCTATATACAGACTTTTGCTGAATTAAGTTTTGATAACATGACTGAATGAATGATCACTAAATAAATAATCATGAACTCAAGCTTCAGAGATACAACACAGGCAGAATTGGTTTTAAATTATTTTACTCTAAAATTGGAAGTTCCTTAATTCTTAGCTGTTCTGTATTACTGTAACTCATGAACATCTTCATCAGTGATTTGGACGAGGGGGTGAAAAGCACCCTGTTCAAATCTGCTGATGACATTAAGATGTGGGGGGACATGGGCACACTAGAAGGAAGAAGCAGGCTACAATTGGACCTGGACAGGTTACAAGGGTGGGCAGATAAGAATAGGATGGGTTTCAACACAGACAAGTGCAAGGTAATGCACCTGGGGAGGGACAACCGGCACCAACCTACAGGTTAGGGAACTCTCCTCTTGTCAGCACGGTGGCAGAAAAGGATCTTGGAGTCATCATTGACTCCAAGATGAACATGGGTCAGCAGTGTGGGAAGGCAGTTAGGAAGGCCAACCGCACCTTTTCATGCATCCACAGATGCATCTCGAGCAGGTCCAGAGAGGTGATCCTCCCCCTTTATGCAGCACTGGTCAGGCCGCAGTTGGAGTACTGCGTCCAGTTCTGGGCGCCACACTTCAAGAGGGATGTGGACAGCATAGAGAGGGTCCAGAGGAGGGCCACTCGCATGATCAGGGGACTGCAGGACAGGCCCTATGAGGAGAGACTACAGGACCTGAACCTGTTCAGCCTCCACAAGAGAAGGCTGAGGGGGGATCTTGTGGCCTGTTACAAACTGGTCAGGGGGGATCAGCAGGCATTGGGCGAGTCACTGTTCCCCTGAGCACAGCCAGGAGTGACCAGGAACAACAGTCACAAGCTGGCAGAGGGTAGGTTTAGGTTAGACATCAGAAGGCGCTATTTCACGGTCAGGGTGGCTAGGGTCTGGAACCAACTTCCAAGGGAGGTGGTGCAGGCTCCTACCCTGGGGGTTTTTAAGAGGAGGTTAGATGAACACCTTGCTGGGGTCGTTTGACCCCAGTACTCTTTCCTGCCATGGCAGGGGGTTGGACTAGATGATCTTCTTAGGTCCCTTCCGACCCTAGAAACTATGAAACTATGAAACTACTATAAAAGATTCAGGTGCCATCATGTTAGGTGCTGCATACACAGAGGGCAAAAAGTAACATTAGCCAGCAGTTTGAAGTCTCAGAATAAAGTACTACACAACAAACAGCTCTGTCACTTCCACACATGGTAAAACACTAATTCAGCCAAATTTAACAAGTGTTACTCTACCACTGATATGTACTAACACAACACTTAGAAACACTCTCACATTTCTTTATTCCTTTTTCTTCTCATTTCCACACTAGAGAGACTTGCAGAAATCACGATTCCTTTCAGAGGTCTTCTGGCTCATCTTTTTACTTCCCACCCAAAACTCAGTAGCACACATTTGCTTATTATCCTAATACATCAACAACTTTAAGAGAATCTGTTCATGAATCACCTCATTTCCCAATGCACCAAATCTTGGGTCTCACACAAGTGCCACTGTTCAGCAATTCCAGTTTTAAATGTGATTAATGATTTAATCAACAGGACAGGAGAGGGAAGGATCTCCTTTACAAGAGCAAGCACATGCCTGTTTGGAAGCATCCTACTACTTTCTATTGCTGTTGAGAGGCCCCACTCTAAGCCACACACTGTGCTGTACCCCTCCCCCCATGTCAACACTATCCTGGAGAACTGGACCAGCTTAAAGGCAGAGGCTGTATGAGTGACAGAGGCCAGATTAACAGATAATCTCTGCAAGCACTCAAACATTCGAGGGAGAGTGTGTGATGGAATTGGTTGTAGTTTTGCCCATTGCTGCAAGATAACTAGGCTCTAAACTTATGAACTATCCAACTACCACCTAACCCCCAGGTCTCTTTCCTGCTTGGTGCAGGGGACTGGACCCAATGATCTTCCGAGGTCCCTTCCAACTTTACAAACTATGAAAAAAAACATGGTTTTCAAGTAAGAAACTAGTTGCCCCACCTTCTTCAGATTCTGCTCCTACAAATTAATCCGCACACCTACTATGGCTGCACAGGATCCCCGGGGTTTCAATAGGTTACAAGCAAAGCAATAAGCAGGATGAGGACCTCCATGTTAAATACATTACCTGTTTTACTTTGACCACAACATGATGAGGGCTTCTGCTTCTTCGATTGCGAGGAGACTTGCTTCGTCGACTAGAGGATTTATTTTTCCTTTTGCCCGGTGATCTTAACAAAAGAGAACAAAACACAACACAACTGAGCTGTTTGGCCCACGTCATGCAGAGACAAAGGACGCTTGTGCAGCGGTTAAGCAGCGATTGAAGCTTGACCTAATAAAATGGGCGTTAACAAACCGGAGGCTTCAGAGCAGAGGAAAGAGGCAGGTGAATGAGGCAACCACAGGACAACAAAGCTGCCGAGGCAGCCGCGCAAAAGGCGACCATAAATGTCTCTCTCAAACGAGGCACTTTCAGTTGAAACAGAGATTTCACATGACCATAAGCCTCACCAGCCAGAAAGGGGTCAAGTGCTCCTGAAAAAACGCATCCACACTGGGGCACAGACAGGGAAGGACTTGGGCAAACCCTGGGGACTGGAAAGCTGCGGCACGTGTCGCCTGGCACTGCCACAACCGTGGCATGCGACGACGGCCTGTAAATCCATGGCGAGCGTCAACCTCAGAGGGAGGAAAAGCTGCCGACGCTAAGGAACAACCTGGGCACCAGAACGAACGGAGCGGATACAGCTCACCTGGAAACTGGGAGAGGGTTTCTAGCCACCGGGAGATGCCAGCCTCCTGCCAGTGCTCGACTGAGACCCACCCCCAGAGACCTCTCCACAATTAAACATTTTAAAGAACAATCGAGACCAGCGGCTTCTTGTCCATGTCGCTGCCCCCACTGACAGATTTATTACAATGCCTTGACATGAGAAAGGTACACAGGCAGTGCTCGAGATGGGATCATTTTAAACCGGTCAGTCGGGGAACCGCTGATCGGCGCAGTCCCGCACACTGCTGATCGCTATGCGACTGACAGATGGGGAAGGAAGGCAGGGCTGTGTTCAGTCGGGAAAACATGGACGAGGGGACAGGAAGCGAAACACGTCCCACTGCCCGGGTGTCCCCCCGGCCTTGGACCTGCTCTCACGAAACACACGAGAAACGTTTTGCGGCCTCCGTAGCCACAGCTGACTCTGCGGGGGGGGGGGGGGGGGGGGGGCGGGGGGGGCGCG